ATACCTGATTCAACTGAATCAAGAGGTTAATAAAAGATTCAAATTTAAAAATTTGAAAATAAGGAACAAAGGTCGGGATATGCATAATTTTTGTTTACTAATTAATTTTTTTTCGAGCAAATAGAATTGTATTCTTTAAAAAATGTAAAGTTTTTGAATTAAACTGATTAAAGATTAAAAAAACAAAACGATTAGAACCTACTTACATTCGGTTCAGTTAAAAAATAAACAGAGATGTAAACAAAGGAAATTGAAGTTAATAAGGTTAATATAATTAAAGTTAAAATTTGCTTGAATTCCAGTTATTAACGTTAATAAAAATAAAAGAGTGAATTATATCCCTTACACAAACAATGAATTATTTTTTTTCTTAAAAAGAAAAGCGCAAACGAATACATTAATAAACACCACGTAACATTTTGTTTTTGTTGTACTCAACATAGCAAAACATCACAAACTTGGACATTTAATAAACGTAAGTTAAAAAAGATGCAAACACTTAAAGATGTAACTCCAACAAAAAAAATGTCTATGCAAGAGTTTGTCAAATAAACATCATGTCCCAAGACGCAAAATAACACTCTTCAGTCACAGCAGCCCAATCTACAGCGTACTCTCATCTGCCTCTGCATCAAATCTATTTAAAAAAATAAAGAAAAAATAAATTATCACTGTTTTCACTTCGCGTAAGAAAAAATACATATAAACACAAATGAATTTTAAATAAAAATATAAGAACCACAGTACGTAACTCCTTTTCAAGCTTTATTTTCTTTGTCGGCCGAACAGCTGAAAATTTAAATTCTCCAGCAATGGAATCATGAGAAGTGAGCACAGGTGTCAACATCGTCAGAGAGACATCACTAACGTCAGCACTGTCACAGGTCTGACTTTCAACATCCTGTGTTTTTTTTTTGTTTTTTTTTTCATATAAAAAAGGTATGTCAAATATGTATTTATATATTTTTAATAACATGAATCTAAATCGAATTCATAGCTCACCGCAGCCTTTTCCAGTTCCGACGAAACAACTTCATTTTCGCGTGCATTATCGAAATTTGCTTCATCCTGTGATAGACAACAACCAACAACAGTAAATATAATGTATAAGAAAAATAGTTATCTAAAAGAAATATATAAGCAGCATACATTTGGATCTATAAGAGACTTAATGAACGCTGAGATTATGTCTTCGCTGATACAAATTTTGGAAACTTGATATTTGGGCTCACTATTTGTGTTCAAATCCTTTTGCTTAACATTTATCTTGAACAACATTGACTTTTCATTCAGAACATTTAACTCATTTGGAAATTGATCCAAATCGGCACCCTAAAAAAAATGAAAAGGGAAAAAAAATTATTCTAAAAAAAAAAGAACAGAACATAGACAGCGCAAACAGAGAGCACAAAACGACAAAAAATACATTTTAACCATAACACAGCAATTAAAAAACAAACCCTCTTGAAATGCAGCTCGCGCAATTCAGCAGCACTCATTCCCAACAAAGACACACAGTCGCGATCAAACAGAATAAAGGATGCGGAATCTGTGTTATCCACAACTCTGACCTGAACACTAAATCTGGAGTTTTGCGAAATTGTATATCAGCAACGTACATGAATGATACGGATTAAAGACAGGTTATAAACTAAGAAGAATATTTTACCTCGGATAATAATCTTCCCAATGTTTTTGGCAGTTCTTACAATACCACTTCTCAAAATCCTCATAAACGGAAAATGGACACTTTTTGCATGACTTGTACCACCAGTTGTATTTGCTCTCAATTGCCTTTATAGTCCCGTATGTGATGCAGGTAGTTACCTTAATTAAAGCAATCGCAGTTTAACATAAAATATCATCAATACAAAATTGACAGAATTAAAGGAAAGTAAAAATTAAAGAAAAGTAAAAATAAAATTTGAACATTTACCTCAACACAAAGTTTCACATCACTGATAGACTTTTTTTCAGTCTCCTTAAGAAAATCATTTTCGAAAGAATAGGATGACTGAGTAGACAATTGAGTCATCCTTGTACTACTTTCCACACCATCAATCGAGAGACTATAACGCAAAAATTAATAATTAAAAAATCAAAAAAATATGAAAATCCATTAATCAATAACCGAATAAATGAGCTGAAGAAAGAAGGTACACACCGTTTTTTGAACTCAACAATCTCATTCAGTTTTGAATCCATTACAATCCTTGTTGTATATTTTGTATTTGTTATCCCGACCTTACCTATTGAGTTAAAAGGTTCAGATAAACATTGAATACAGAAGCAAAATTAATTAAAATAACGTGCATAAAAACTGATTATAAAAGCAAAAATTAAAACAACGTTGTTTGGAAAAAACATACCTCTAAAACACTTAATCCTTCCCAGTTGGACTATCAGGACGTTATGAGGATCGTCGTTGTCTGCCAAAAAAGATTGGACCTCATCCACATAATGCTCCCACAAAGTGCACTCCAACTTATGACCCCTACACGTGAGTTGCAGCAAGCACAACGTTAATACGCGTAAAATATAAGCTAACAGAGCTGGACAAAAATAATTCATTTAACTAAACATTTGTAAGTACCTCAGGTCGTCAAGCTCCAACACCACCATTTTTGTCTTCCTACCAGAAACCACACGATCACAAACTTTCCCAATTCCTGAGATTAAACCAATGACGTCTACAAAAAAAAAACGCAGCAAAGAGTTTGTGAAAAAAATTATGCAATAATAAAAAACGAATACAGAAACATAAAAAACACAGTTAATGAAAAAAATAATGATACAGAATAAGATTACTCGTGACAAAACATTAAAAACACAAAACTATAACCGCAAAGAGTTTAAAAATAAGGAAATAGTCATGATACAGAATAAACCAATGACGTTTAAAAATTAAAAAAAGGCAGCAAAGAGTATGGGAAAAAAATAAAACCCGCAATAATTAAAAAAAGGATAACAGTGAGGAAGAATCTATTACCGACTAAATAAGGGGAGTCAGACGTTTCTTTCTCAATGATGTTATAATCAACAAAATCAAAATCACTCGCACAAATATCAGAAACAACAATCGATTTAACATCAGTCCTCAAGTTGAAAGACAAACGATACTGATGCTTGGTTGGCCTAAACACATCGCTATTGAATCCAACTCCAAATTTTTTTTATAAAATAGCACTCTCCTTCGTTGATTTTATTCCGCACCTGCAAGGTACCTTTGACAGTGGCGTGGATCCTACCACCCTACAAAAGAATGGAGCCAACTTATGTCAACAACGTTAACTAAAATGATCAAAACAAAGATGGAAGATTTTTAAAACACAGAACACAACCTGTTCATCCAATAAAACCATTTCAAGATTGTCCTCCAAATTTTTACGCTGAAAGTTAGGAACTTTCCAAGTCCGAACCACCTTCACCTTAATCCTCCAGTCCTCCTTGGCAGGATTAACATCCTTCAGAAAATCATATTTTGAACTCATATTTTGTGTAAGAAGAAAAAACAGAGAAGCAATCACCGACGTTGAAGAATAATGCGTATCAGGAATTGTATAAATGAGAGTGATTTATAGTTTTTGAATTGTCTTCTTTAAAAAATGTGAAGTTTTTGAATTAAACTGAATAAAGATTTAAAAAACAAAGATAACGACAAAAGAGTGATTCAGTAGTTATAAATGAGATTTTCATGGAATAAAACAGTCATTTGTTTTAATAACAATGTATCCCATTTTTTTTCAAAAAACGTAAAGATTTGAATTAAACTCAATAAAGGTTAAAAAAAACGATTAGATTACATGATAACCATCAATTATTTAAAAAACAAAGATGACGACAAAAGAGTGATTTAGTAGTTATAAATGAGATTTTCATGGAATAAAACAGAAGTTTTTTCTAATAACAAAACACTCATACCTGATTCCACTGAATCAAGAGGTTAATAAAAGATTCAAATTTAAAAATCTGAAAATAAGGAACAAAGGTCGGGATATGTATAATTTTTTTTTTACTAATTATTTTTTTCCGAGTAAATAGAGTTGTATTCTTTAAAAAATGTGAAGTTTTTGAATTAAACTGAATAAAGATTTAAAAAACAAAGATAACGACAAAGAGTGATTAAGTAGTTATAAATCAATGAATATCCCATTTTTTAACAGTCATTTCATGGAATAAAACAGTCATTTGTTTTAATAACAATGAATATCCTGTTTTTTTTTTTCAAAAAACGTAAAGATTTGAATTAAACTGAATAAACGTTAAAAAAAGCGATTAGATTACATGATCAACATCAATTATTTAAAAAACAAAGATGACGACAAAGAGTGATTTAGTAGTTATAAACCAATGAATAAGCAATCTTGACCATTGATTTAAAGTAACAAATCCTGTCAATTGAAAATATAATTCTTTTTTGTATTTATTATATTCACCGATTTACCATTAAAGGAAACTTTTTTAAATGTTGTAGTGTGAACACATTGGTGAAATTGAACCACAGTGCGACACGTCAGCAAGGTTTCCCCAGAATGGAATTCCTTTATAATATAAGATTACTATAATTATTATTATTTTCTTTTATAAATTTATCTAAATGTTATTTAGGGAAATTTATGAGACTCCTTTTAGCTTTATTTTCCTTCTTTTCTCTCAAAAGTTTTCTTTTCCTGTCAATTTTTTTTTCCACTTTTAATACTCCCTGTCTACTATGTTTAGCTGAAGTTGACAAATTTTCTATTTTGTGGATATAGAGCCATGATTTTGTGCAAAACTTGTCGATATAGAAACCAAAGATCTATTAGCAATTACTAATAGCTCACTTGGCGTATAGGTAGAATAAGAGTATGTGTTGGATTATATTCAATTTTTTTTTAAAGGGTTTAAAGGTTTAATCTTGGACCTGCTCCAAAACAAACTAATCGCGAAGCGATGAACCGATTAAAATATTAAAAAAAAAACTATTAGCAATTGCATCGCCCCTGAAACTGTACACTTCAAACACACAAATTTTCATGTCTGGCTTAGCAACCGTCCCCGTCCTCACCTAAGCTCTTAGGGCATGTTTGGTGTATAGTATAGGATAAGGCCTAATAGTATAAGACCTGATAGTATAAGGTCTGATTGTATAAGACCTGATTGAATTTTAATACTATCCAACGTTTGGCACGGTATTGTATAAAAGAATATATTGTATAAGATAATATCATCTAGTATTTGATAATGCACTATATAATACTATATAGGATAAAAATAAATATCTTTTAATAAAGAATTTATATAATTCTTCAAAAAATGTCATATGATATTAAATTTTATAAAAATTTATTGATCAGTGTATCCAAAACATAAATTAATTTTTGTAAAAATAATAATATTCAATATTTTAAAAATTAATATATTGAAAAATTAATTTTTATTTTACTATATTAACATTAAAATAATATATTAATTTTTGAGAATTACACTGGTCACTGGTCAACGATTTTAATACACCAACTTTTTATCAGGCCTTATCCCTCTTCCTTAGGCCGGATTAAGTTATACATCGTTTTGATGTATTAAGGGATCCTGCTGTATAAGCTTATACTATACGATGGTCACACCAAACAACTAAAAATATCATAACGTATAGTATAAGCTTATACTATCAGGCCTTATACGTCACATCAAACAGGCCCTTAAAGTATGTGATTATAGTGTAATTGCATGCTTCTGTCTTCTTGTGGGTTTCCATTCTCTTTCTATCTTATGTTGTATTCTAAAGGAAAAATGGGATTGATTAGATTTCCTATGGTTCATGTATGCTTAAAAATCATCATTTTTGCAGATGATTGCGTCAGACGATATAGGAAGGTAAACAATCAATCCCAAAAAATCTTTAAGATTTTTTTTTTCACTTACATCCCGTTGCTTCTTTTGTGTCTTTTTTGGTGGGTAAGATGATATAGTAAGGATAGGTTACCTCCAATATCAAACCCCTCCCCCCCTTCTCCAAAAAAAAAAAATACACACTCAAACGTTTAGAGCCTACTTACCATTAGCCCCTTAGGTAAACATAATCAAGTGGAGAAATATTTGTGAATAATCTATTCACAATACTTTTAACTCTAGAACGGAAGCGTAATTCTTTGTTTGTAAATTGCAATATAAGAATTTGTCACCCATTTCAGGAAACCTGTGGAGCAGTTCTTGAAGTATGTGGATGAAATCACTTTGAATAATAACACTAAAATTGCTCAGAAGATCATTTCCTCACCTTTGGTAGATGGTAATTAATAATTTTTTCCCTTTAAAGTATTTCTCTACTGATAATGCTAGCCTTGATCATTGATTAACGAAGCATCATTTCTTTTTTTCTTTTTTCCCCCTTTTCTTACGGCAGTGATAAATGTGCCAAATTATTAATTTGTGAACAACAAGTTGCATGCAAAATGAAATTGCTTATTCTCAAACTACTATCATCATAGTTTTTGGATCACACAAATGCGAACTTCCAATTTTCTAGAGCAATGCTGAAAATAAATGCCAAGAGTTTTTTTTTTTTTTTTTTTTGTGCGGATCCGTGTTTGTCTTTTTCTATAATGACTTTGCCTAATGTATCAAGGTGCATGGTCTCATGATAAAACACCTCAATTTTTTTAGAGGTGGCAATATAAGTTGAGTTCAACGGGTCAATCCACCAATCCGTCAAAACGGGACGGGTTGAGTTACTTATCCCAACCCGCCTGTCGAATTGGGAGTTAAAATGGATTGGCGGCGGGTCGGGGCGGGTTGGCCCGCTGAGTCAGTTTATTTTTTTTGTTTTTTGTTTTTTGTTTTTTTACTATTAGGTAATATTTTACTTGTTTTTAAGCTTTTGTAATATCCAAATTTTTTTATCTTAGCACTTGCTAGAAAAAATAAAAAATAAAATCTTTATTTATGACAAACTTTATCTATATATGGAGACAAAAATAAGTTCTTAAAGAATGTTTAATTGAATATTAACATACATTTAGACTTGAGATTGGAAAAAAATTAAGGGAAGTGTGAAATAAAAATAATTAATATTATAAAATGGGAGAGGTTATATTTACAACCCAAATAGTTTACAAACTCTTACAACCATATCTTAACCGTTGATTTTCGTCAATCAATGATTGTCATTTATTGTGAATTAATAATTAATTAATAAATTTAATTTGTGAAAATCTTAATCGTTGATTGACGGAAATCAACAGTTAAGATATGATTGTAAGAAGTTGTAAACGAAAATAGGTTATAAATATAACCTTCTCCTACCCACCGCAAAATAGGGTGGGTTGATTTTCAACCCATATTCAAGCGGCAGGTCAGGGTGGGCCGACCCATTTTGCCACCTCTAAATTTTTTTATTCATGAACTAATTTTCTCTCTTTTCTCAACTTCTAAAAGAGCACAAGAGCGGTGTATTTATATAAAATGTAGAAGGCATGAACTTGTGGGAAGCGATGTAAGGACTTAGTACATTTGTATGCTTATCGAATTATCATCGCCTCATAAGCACATAGGGCATACCTCTCGGAGCGCAGATCTATGAGCGACCTCCTTATGTGTAAAGTCTCCTTATGAGCTGATCTCGTCTCCATCACAGCACAAACAATCACCTTGTAACTAGTTGGCGGTAGACTTTCCAGCCTATCTCTCAAGGGGGAAGGGGACAGTGTTTGGGCGCTCTCTCACTATTGTGAAGATGACCTTACTTCAGCCTCTACAACCACCAAGTGAAGACCACCTCTGAGAGGCTGATGACTATAAGGGGGTGTTTGGTAGGTGGGAAAAATTTATTTTCCAGGAAAGTGACCCTCGCAATCTGATATTCCCATATTGGAAAAGGGAAGTGCAAAATTTTCCTGGCAAAATTACATTCTCAGGATTTTCAATTACATAAAAAATTGCCAACCCATAATACCATCCAACATGTGTTATTTTAGAAATCCCACACAATGGGAAATTTACCCTCTGTACCTTGTCTTTGCGTGAATTGCTCGATTGAATCTTTTTTGTTTCCAACTTCTTGTCTTGTCTTTCTCACTTGATATAAGAGATGTAATTTAATTTTTTTTGTGGAATTGAAGGGATTCCTTCGTGGTTTGAGCACCGCAGCAGTAGGGGACGACATATTTTATTCTGGTTTCGTAACAAGTTTCCTGCCATTGCTCTCTGTATTGTTCTGGATAACTCCGATTGGGATGCATCCACTGTGATCATCAATGGCAACAAAGGTTTCAAAACTGATTGGCCTGAAGAGCTGGAAATATTTCATACATATCTTTTTGGTATGCAACCTGAAGATACTGAGTTGGATGAAGTGTCTTTATAAAATGAATGGAACCATGTGGAGGTTAGAAGTGAACCCATCCCAAAAAATGATAAAGTCTAAATCGGAATCCATGTATTCAAAGAGAAAAAAGCATAGAGGATATTTGATTCATTAATCTTGATCTGAGTAGTCATGGGAACAGTGATT